TCTTATACCACTGCAGGTGAATACTTAGATACACAGTTCATCTAGTTGGTGGTGATTCTTCTGGTATCCACTACACAAGTGAGCTTTCCACTGAATCAGTGAGAAGGATCAGTAAGCAGATAAAGATCACCCGTAGGTGAGTACACAGGCACACAGTTCATCAGAGTGATAGCAGATCTCCCAGTAAACATCAGATAAGAATAATCACTTCCCTTGATCAGAATGAAGGACTCGATGACTCATGAGGAACAACTATGTATAAAGGTGAGAAGACACCGGAGCAAAGGTGAAGACAGCTATCTGACTTGAATACCGGCCGACGAGAAAACCAAGAAGATGGGTCTTTAAAGTGTCCATGGGTAATGAAGAACAGGTGCAAGTCGTTAGTAGTCTGATGAAGGTTCACTGGATTGGATGGAGGTGGTATGTGAGGGAGAACGTTGATTGGGTGAGCAGGAACAAGCTGGGGATGTGACATTATTACACACAATGGGATGCACAGCAACACGCTTGGAAAAGGTAATTAAATATGTTCAAAAATTAAAATTAAATGTGGATTAAAATGTAAAAAAATATTATCTACATACAGTTGAAGTCAGAATTATTAGCCCCCCTGAATTAATAGACCGCTTGTTTATTTTTTCCCCAATTTCTATTTAATGGAGAGCAGATTTCTTCAACACATATCTAAACATAGTAGTTTTAATAACTCAGTTCTAATAATGGATTTATTTTACCTTTGCCATGATGACAGTAAATAATATTTTGCTAGATATTTTTCAAGACACTTCTATACAACTTAAAGTGACATTTAAAGGCTTAAATAGGTTAATAAGGGTAACTAGGCAAGTTAGCGGAATTAGGCAAGTTATTGTATAATGATGGTCTGTTCTGTAGACTATCGAGAATAAAAAAAATAGCTTAAAAGGGCTAATAATTTTGTCCCTAAAATGGTGTTTAAAAAATTAAAACTGCCAAAATAAAACAAATAAGACTTTCTCCAGAAGAAAAAATATCATCAGACATACTGTGAAAATTCCCTTGCTCTGTTAAACATCATTTAGAAAATATTTAAAAAGAAGAAAAAAATTCGAAGGGGGCTAATAATTCTGACGTCAACTGTAAATATAAAAAAGCTACCTCCTTCATCTACAGAGGATTTTGTGGAATCCAGTTTGTTTCGTAGTCACGCATGAGCAGATACGTTTCATCCTTAGTGAATTGTTTCACAGCTTACGAAATCTGCCATATAAATAGCAAATCCATCATTGCACAATGGCAATTCTTTAAGTAAATGGGAGATAATTCTCTGATCGGTTTAACGCATGTTATGATCAAAACCCATGTATACCTTTTTGGATGTACTGACCTTTTTTCCCATCATTAAAATTGCCAACGTAAATTCACAACCTAAATGCATGCGCTTTAGACCAGGGGATCCCAAACTTTTCAGCATGCGATCCCTAAAATAACAATGCCAGTGACTCACGAGTCACGACCCTCAGTATTCTCTGGGGTGGTTATAGATAAATAATCCTTGCACACATCAATAGGCCCAAGTCTATTCATCATTTAATTAGGATAAAACCACTCAGAGACCATCCTCCATCTTTATTTGTGGCTTGTATTTATTTTTGATGTACGTGAGTGCCATAAAGGCATTAGAAAGTTTAACATAGTGCCAAAAAACTATTGTGCTGCATCTGATGGTATTGCTGTGTCTTTAATATAACCTAATTACCCCAGGGGTCTGAAATAATTGAAAAGTTTAATGTTAATGTTTTAATATTTATTATTAACATGTTAACAATGTTGCTATTAACTAGTATATTGGTTTGTTAAAATAGAGCCCCAAGAGTTTCGACTGCCAAGACTGTAAAGCACATGATGGTTTTGTTTGTTGTTCTAAGTAACTGGGTTGACGAAGTGTAAACCACGGCTTCATATGAAAAGGGTGCAAGATCAGCTGTTCATTTGCATTTAAAGAGACACAATAAAACATTTAAAATAATCTTTTACAGCATGGTATAATAAATGATCAACCCTGTATTTTGGTATGAAACCTGATACTTATATTACATATTGTAAAAAGTATAGAATAATTCTGTGAACTCAATTTAAAAAAGGACAAGCTACTCTATTGCGTACATCATTCGAACCCAGGATATTTTAACTGTACAATAATGTCTCTATGTATATTGTTTCACCATATACTGATATGAACACTAAAGTAAAAAATGACATTCTCTTTTAATATAGGTAGAGATAAAGAGAAGCCCAGTCTAAAATAAGTGCACCACACTTGTTGCCAAGCAACTAATTGAAAATGTGAGCAGAGGTGAGGTTAGGTTTATGATTTAACTTCTGATGAGACTATTTTAGCATATATCTTGTTTAATGAAATGTGTTGTGAGCTTTATTTTAGACTGCCATCAATTCATAACCTCTTATTCTATAAAGCACATACTATACAAAAAAAACATACATCATTTATTTGGTCTCATTTTCAGTGTTATGAAATAACCAAAGTCATGTTTAATATTACATCATATATTATGAGTGAAATTGGTTTGAAAACAGGATCTTTTCTGACCCATTTTTCATATTGTGCAACAAAGTACATTCCCTGCACTACTTTCAGTCAGTGGGCCAAACAGACTACTGATGAAAACCTTAAAAATGTATTTAGTGTTGAGTGATGCCAACATTTGCTACAGATTGATCAAATAAGAAACAAATTTAGGCTACTTTATTTGGCAAATTTCAGTCACTTTTTGTTACTTTAACAATAAAACGGCACGCATTTCACTATAAATTATACAACAAGTGTAAACAAAAAGCTAGGCAGCAAAGCAACAAGTTAGCCAGGACAGAGATGAACATGTACTCAACATGCATTAGATTTGCCAGTTTCCATTGTTTAATATTAGCCTAACAGTTTATTAATGAGACACGTTGTTACTAGTTTTGATCAGGTAGATGCACTGATGGAATGCAGTTTACAGAAAAAAGTCCAATAGAATTTTCCAACCCTATCAAACTTTTTAGACATAAAATGTAACATAATACCATGCGTACTTCAATATTAATTATGGAATGAGCGCTTATTTTGAGTCATTTTGGTGATTCAAAATCCCTACTTTGATTCTTTTGGTTAACTAATTTTGGTTGATTGATTTTGGTTGATTAATTTTGGTTGATTAATTTTGGTTGATTAATTTTAGTTGATTAATTTTGGTTGATTAATTTTAAATGTATTAATTTTAGTTGATTAATTTTGGTTGATTAATTTTGGTTGATTAATTTTAGTTGATTAACTTTGGTTGATTAATTTTGGTGAATTAATTTTTGTTGATTAATTTTGGTGAATTAATTTTGGTTGATTCATTTTAGTTGATTAATTTAAGTTGATTCATTTTAGTTGATTAATTTGGTTGATTAATTTTGGTTGATTAATTTTGGTGTATTAATTTTAGTTGATTAATTTTACTTAATTAATTTTAGTTGATTAATTTTGATTGATTAATCTTGGTGAGTTCATTTTAGTTGATTAATTTTGGTTGATTAATTTTGGTTGATTAATTTTGGTGTATTAATTTTAGTTGATTAATTTTAGTCGATTAATTTTAGTTGATTAATTTTAAATGTATTAATTTTAGTTGATTAATTTTAGTTGATTAATTTTGGTTGATTAATTTTGGTTGATTAATTTTAGTTGATTAACTTTGATTGATTAATTTTGGTGAATTAATTTTTGTTGATTAATTTTGGTAAATTCATTTTGGTTGATTCATTTTAGTTGATTAATTTAAGTTGATTCATTTTAGTTGATTAATTTTGGTTGATTAATTTTGGTGTATTAATTTTAGTTGATTAATTTTAGTCGATTAATTTTAGTTGATTAATTTTGATTGATTAATCTTGGTGAGTTCATTTTAGTTGATTAATTTTAGTTGATTAATTTTGGTAAAATAATTTTAGTCGATTAATTTTGATTGATTAATTTAGGTTGATTAATTTTTGATGATTAATTTTGGTGAATTTATTTTGGTTGATTTATTTTGAATAATTCATTTTGATTTATTCATTTTGGTTGATCCATATTACTGGGGTGACACAGTGGTGCAGTAGGTAGTGCTGTCGCCTCTCAGCAAGAACGTCGCTGGTTTGAGCCTCGCCTGGGTCAGTTGGTGTTTCTGTGTGGAGTTTGCATGTTCTCCCCGTGTTTGCGTGGGGTTCCTCCAGGTGCTCCGGTTTTCCTGACAGTCCAAAGACATGCAGTACAGGTGAATTGGAAAGGCTACATTGTCCGTAGTGTATGAGTGTATATGGATATTTCCCAGAGATGGGTTGCAGCTGAAAGGGGATCCGCTGTGTAAAACATATGCTGGATAAGTTGGCTGTACATTCTGCTGAGGCAACCCCATTATTAAAGGGATTGAGCCGAAAAGAACATGAATAAATGATTCATATTGGTGAATTAATTTTGCTTCATTGCTTGATATATTTTGGTAAATTAATTTTGGTTGATTCATTTTGGTTGATTTATTTGAGGTAATTCATGTTGGTGAATTCATTTTGGTTGATTGTCACGAAATTGTCACAAGAAACTTTAATCTTAAAATCATTGTAGAAACATGATTGATATAATTGATGATATTTGGCGTTTAGAAAATGTGTGATAATGCTTGTTATTATATCATTTAAAAATAAAGTTTTACATATGGTTAAGTAATTACCAGTTAATGTACTGTTGGTTATTTTTGCCTCCTTAAAAAGAATAATTAAATTGCAATTCTTATTATAATTTCTTTAAAATATGCTATAAAACAGGTTAAAGGAGTCAGATTCGTTTCTTATGAGAACGAGATAGTGGACATTTTGTTCATACAGCCTAAACCTTAGTCTTTAGCTTTTACCTAAAGTATATACAAGTCGTGAACTTATTACACACATCAAGTTTGGCAGATAAGTAGAGTAACCCCACAGTGAAGCGATGATGTAATATCCGCCGAGAGTCTCCACACATCTCTCAAACTTTTCTGCGCCCGGAGCGACGATGACAGCGCTCGCATTTTCCGCGGCTCTGTCGAGAATCTCTGGTCCCAGCGAACGGACAAGCTCCATCTGAACCATCGCGGGGAATCGGGCTGAAAGAGACACGTAGGCGGGAGACTCGAGGCAGAATGCGGCCGCTGTTCGTGGTGCTGAAACCGCTGTGTTTTCTCGCCCTGCTCGGCTACTGCCCTTCCGCGGTGAGTCTTACTGACTTCACATACACAAAAACTTGACATGTCTGAGTCCGGCTGCTAAAACAGCACTGAGTCAGAGGAACAGGGTGTATGAAAGGCTGAGTGTGGACGCAAAGTAACTAATAAGGCTCTCGGTGTCATTTTTGTGAGGTATTCTTATGTTAATGCGATAATATCATTTAGTGACACCCTAAGTCTAGAGAGAGGGAGTTAATACGATGCAATGCAACTAAGCTGGCTGGATTTTATGTAAATATCCATAAGGGAAAAAATGTTTTGGTAAGAACATTATGTTATACTGAATGGACGACATTAAACGATTCAGTTTTCAATCAGTTTTATTTCCGGCGTTTAAACGGTTGTAAGCATCCACATGTACAGTACTGAGCATTAGCTGTTTGTTGCCTAAATGCATAGTAAAAAGTAAAGTATGTGCAACAATGCATTTTGTACTCCGTTTTTTTTTTATTTGCTGCTAGATGTGTTTTAATAATTTATACGTCATAATAAATAAGAACTTATATGTTTATTTTTTTCCTAATAAAAAAAAAAGTTATTTGGGAAACAATAGTTTATAAATATGGTATTGTAAATCGCATGCCTTTCCACAGAACAAAATGAACTATAATTACAATTTTCTTCCCATTATTTATTTTCTGTACACTATTACAACCATAATATACTAGTTAATTATTTTAATTATTAATTTATTTGTGTATTTTTCAACATTAGTGTATTTTTAGTTTATATTATTAGACTATAGTAGCCTATACTGTCATCCAAATGAAGATGTGTTTTCTGCAGTAAGTACAGAAGTAGCCTTTAAAAACAGCCATTAAATACCTTAAGTTGTAATATAAAGGCAGTGTAACAGTTCATGCTGTATGTACCGATTGCTAATTTTTAAAACTAGTCTAAAACACATATTAAATTATTAATCCACTAATATGACACTAAAATATTTTGATACAAAGTGAGAAGGAAAGCAAGGCTTTTAAACTGCAAAGTGCTATGGAAATGTTTGGGAAAAACACACTGAATTTTTTATGAATAATTTAAATTAATGTAAGATCTAAATAAATTAATAAACATAGAATTAAAGCTAAAATGTACATAATAAAATATAAAAAATAAACTTAGATTAATAATAATAACTACTTAAATTGGATGGATGGATGGATGGATGGATGGGTGGGTGGGTGGGTGGTTGGATGGATGGATGGATGGATGGATAGATAGATAGATAGATAGATAGATAGATAGATAGATAGATAGATAGATAGATAGATAGATAGATAGATAGATAGATAGATAGATAGATAGATAGATAGATAGATAGATAGATAGATGCTTTTTATATATTAAGATGGGGGTCTTTCACACCACACTCTCAGAAATCAAGGTACAGGAGCTGTCACTGGGGCAGTACCTTTTCAAAAGATACATATTTGTACCCAAAGAATTTACAGTAAAGGCGCATATTAGTGCCCAAATGTACCTAAAAAAGTACCTTTGAGGGACCATTATGGAACCTTTAGGTATCAATATGTACCTTTTGAAAAAGTACTGCCCCAGTGACAGCGTCTGTACCTTTATTTCTGAGAGTGCAGGATGATCATTTTTGGACATCTAGGTCATCTAGAATATTAAAAACCCCTAAACAACAGCATCTGACATTGCTAAAGAGTTTAAGAGAGAAATGTTTTCTTTGTCAGCCTGTTCTCGGCATCATTATTAATCTGTATGCTATCCCAAAGGGGTCTTTTTCAGCACTGGGTCAAGATCAAAATCTGCAATGCTGACAAACAGCTATCTATTTGTCTTGTAAAACCCAGAGAATTCATCTGAATGTGACTGGAAACAAAAGAAGCCTGTAGTATCTGAAAGTGTCACGAGAATCTCTCATTTAGTCTTAATAAACCCAGCTGCAGTTCTTATTTGAGGAGCAGAATCCCTCGGCTCATATCTCATAATGACAGTGAACTAGCAGGAAGTGCCCATCCAACTTGGATATGTTACAATTTGCTGAAATTGCAGTTAGTTGGTAGTTGCAGCAGCTTCAGGAAGTGTGCCAGAGTGTGTAAAGCACCCACTTTTTTTTTTTTTTTCAACTCGCCTGTAAAAGGCTAGTCCCCAGAGCCGGCCTTTCAGAGCCTGCTGCGAGAGTGGAGGGGAAAAAAAAAGAATGAATGTGGGTGTTTACAAAGCGCCTTTATTGTTGTAGACAATCTAGGGAAATTTTAGGTGATGAAGGTGGAGAGAGAGGCTTTATCATGAAGGTGTTGCAACGGGGGCTATTTGTAGTCAAAACACACTTCTTTGTTTTTTCTTCTTTTATCTGCTGTGGTTTAGCAGCTCGCGATTGAATTGGATTCAGTTTGATGAGTGCATGAATCTAAATGAATTTTCTGAATATTCTTCCATGTTAAAGTAGGGCTGTCCCTATAGGAGGTCACTGTCCTGCAAAGTTTAGCTTTAATCCAAATGAAAGCACTTAAATATCCGCTTGTTAAGTTGTGACGTATGGAATACTGTTTCCGGTGTTCTGTTGATTTGTCATACCTTGTCAGATTGTCCTACCTCCCATTCAAAAAGTAGGCAGCACATTTAGATGTCGGTAGTAGGTAGTGCTGTCGCCTCACAGCAAGAAGGTCACTTGTTCGCCTAGTTCAGTTGGCGTTTCCGTGTGGAGTCTGCATGTTCTCCCTGCGTTCGTGTGGGTTTCCTCCGGGTGCACCGGTTTCCCCCACAGTCCAAAGACATTTGGTATAGGTGAATTGGGAAGGCTAAATTGTCGGTTGTGTATGAATGTGAATGAGTTTGTGTGGATATTTTCCAGAGATGGGTTGTGGCAAGAAGGGCATCCGCTGCGTAAAAATGTGCTGGATAAGTTGGCAGTTCATTCCGCTGTGGCGACCCCACATTAATAAAGGCACTAAACTGAAAAAAAAATGAATGGAAAAAAAAAAAAAAAAAAAAAAAAAAATATATATATATATATATATATATATATATATATATATATATATATATATATATATATATATATATGGTTCATTTGTTAATTTTTTGTGGACTTTTTTCAGTTTTTTACATATTGTATTGTGTCCACTTGTTCTGTGTTAGTTTATATACAATTGAAGTCAAAATTATTAACCCACTTGAATTATTAGCCCCTCTGTTTATTTTTTTCTCAAGTTTCTGTTTAACTGACAGAAGATTATTTCAACTCATTTCTAAACATAATAGTTTTAATAACTCATCTCTATAAAAAATTTATTTTACCTTTGCCATGATGACAGTGAATATTGAAACATTTAAAGACTTAATTGGGTTAATTAGGTTACTAGGCAGGTTAGGGTAACTAGGCAAGTTATTGTATAATGATGGTTTGTTCTGCAGTCAATCGAAAAAATATCTAAAGGGGCTAATAAGTTTGTCCTTAAAATGGCGTTAAAAAAATAAAAACTGCTTTATTCTAGCTGAAATAAAACAAATAAGACTTTCTCCAGAAGAAAAAATCTTATCAGACATATTGATAAAATTTGGGAAACATAATTTGGAAAATATTCAAAAATGAAAAAAATTATATATATATATATATATATATATATATATTTTTTTTTTTTTTTTTTTTTTAATCACTTTGTCAACGTTTATTATTACCATTTGTTGAGTCTTCCCTATCCAGTTTGATAAAGTGCTTGGACCAAAAATCTGATTTGTGTGGCATCACACTTAACAAGCGGATAGAGTATGTCAAAAACAGCAAATATGAACATATGAAAAATTTAGTTGGTAAATACCTGGTTGACCTACTACTTCTGGCTGAGTTTCTGAATAATGCGTTGAGTGGAATATGTCTGCATTTCATTCATTCATTTTCCTTCGGCTTAGTCCCTTTATTCATCTGGGGTTACCACAGCAGAATAACTGCCAACTTATCCAGTATATGTTTTACACAGTGGATGCCCTTACAGCTGCAACCTAGTACTAGGAGGAATCATCCATACACATTCACACACTTACACCATGGCCAATTTAATTTTGTCACGTCTTTGCACGTCTTTGCAATGTGGGGAAACCGGAGCACCCGGGGGAAACCCACCAGCAACCTTCTTGCAGTGAGGTGACGGTGCTAACCACTGAGCCACTGTGTCGCCCGTCTGCATTTTATTCATACTACAAATAATCTAGAGCAAACATTTTTAGCGCTCAAGAAGTAAGTTTATATTGAAATACAGAACCTGCTCTGATTTTGTATACACCAAAGGCCTTCAGATTCAATAGGAGCCTTTTAGTCTTGTGTGATTGAACAAAATTCTACTGGACATTGACCCTCCAGGAACAGTTTGAGATGTCTCCTGATAACCAGTAAAATTATATATTTAACTGCACTGACATAAGCACAAAACTTAAACTGAATTAAGTTGGAAAACTATATTGTCTAGGCCACAGGTGTCAATTCCAGTTCCTGGAGGGCCGCAGCTCTTTTCACAGTTTAGTTTCAACCCTAATTAAGCCTAATTAAGCTCACCTGATCAAACTAAGTCCTTCAGGCTTGTTGGAGACCTACAGGTGATGCTGCGGTCACATTAGAGCAGGGGTGGGCAAACTTGATCCTCGAGGGCCAGTGTCCCTGCAGAGTTTTGTTCCAACACTAGTCAAACACACCTGAACATGCTAATCAGTGTCTTTAAGATCACAATAAATCTATAAGCAGGTGTGTTTGATTAGGGTTGGAGCTAAACTGTGCAGGACACTGGCCCTCCAGGCACGAGTTTGCCCACCCCTGCACTAGAGTTTGTGCGTGTGAAATTCTGTTGTATGGCACTTCGAAAAGAGGGATTAGACATTTAAAAAAGCAAGCAAATGGTCCATGTATTAAATTTCTGTACTGAGAGGTCATGTTTTAATCTTTTATTGGTCTCACGCAATCATGTGATGTGATTTCGCGGGTCAGAGTTTACCAAGCTTTAGCTTTCCAACGCAGCGAACTGTGAAACTTGTTGCACTACAGTAGCTTGTGTTTCCGGTCTGACGCATTCACATGCGTATGAATGGAAGTCTATGTGGAGAAAAGTCCAGTGTGACCGCTGCAATGGCTGCACGATTTATCAAAAAAAGGATTGAGATCTTGAATCGATCCTACAATCTTAATTCAGCTTTTCTACGATTCAGCCAATTATATTTTCAAGAGCATGAGAGAAGCATAAAGGTGAGTTGCACAAGTCTTTTTATTGTTATACATATGCTGCTAGGCAACATGTACACCTCCAAATGGTGTTAAACGTGTCACTTAACAAATTTAAGTGTATAATTCACCCTAAAATGTCATTTCTGTCTTAATGTAATGATGTATTCGCAGCCGCAAAATCACACGTGAGCTGACGCACTGTTTGTTTACCTCAGAGAGGACGCGCGCGTGCACGCCATGGCTACTTTAGTGAACAGAACCTGTATAGAATGTGAATAACAGGTAATGAAGTTGTACATAAAGTTCAGTTTTCTGCACAGAGCGATCGTTTGATAGCCATGCGGGAAGTATGATTTGCATGTATGGTTTTTTTTTTTTCCTCACAGCAGACATGAACGCACACGGCAGTAAAGTGCAACAGGCGCGTGCATCATTTAAACGATCAGATTTTAGAGTTACAGTATAATTACGCAAATCACTTGATATGTTTTTTTCTTTCAGCAAACACAAAAGTGTTTGAAAAATGTGCATTACAACAAATGTTTACTGGGTCAGTATAACTACTCTAGCCTATATAATGTTGAATATAATGCAGGAGAGAAACTGATAATGACAAATGTCTCATTTTACCAGTGAAGAAAAATGATCTAATAATGCTGTCAATGACAGATGACAAGCATATGTCTATATGATAATTCAACTTTAAAATTATGAATAGTTGTATTCTGATGTCATCACTTTACTGTGAATCAACAAACAGGACATATTTAGTCTGTCCGAATCTATCGTTCCATGTATATACAAAATGTAGCATTTAACCAACAGTAGATCTACACATTGGCCTATTATTATTATTGTTGTTTTAACATATGTTTGAGAAATAACACTAATAATAGCCTATTCATATTGACCTTTACTTTGCATCTACAAAATTGTGAGAAAATTGTGATCTTTATTTTAGGCAAAAATAATGAAGTCCCAATCACTGCTTTAGTGTGTTGGAGCAGGGTTGGAACTAAACTGTGCAGAGCAATGGCCCTCCAGAAACTGAAATTGACACCTGTGATCTTGGCTAATGTCTTCTATATGAAGTGGTTAAATGCTCTATTTACAATTGCTTGGTGGTTTTAATTTTGGTTCAGATATGGACAGACCAATTTGTTGATTAAAAAGTTTAATAAATAAATAAAAAAAATTTGGTTGGGTTGAGTCGATATCTGACAGTAATCAGTAATTTACACAATACACTGTATAATTTACACATTAAGTATGAAGTAATCAATCCAAGCTCAATCAACATTAAGTTAACCTCTATCTAACTATGTGGTTGGTTAAATAGTTAACTAGTTACCCATTAGGTTAAACTAATATAAAGTATTGAGGAATGAAAAAGCCTTGCTTAGTCATAGATTAATCTACCATATTTACAGATGGACAAAAGCCATTGATAAACCACCAAAATATACAGCATAAAAATGCTAAATATGAACAAAAAATAGTGGCCAAGTTTTGAATAGCATTTATTGTACAGCTGTAAGAGTTAACATTGCAGTCAAATCTATTTACTCTGGAGAAAATAGCTAATTATTACTACCAAATATTGAAAACAAATTATTTTTCACATTTAAATGCTGTAGAGACATCCATCAGACCCCAGAATAACTACCAAGAAAGAATACCTATCTGAAGGGTAGTCTAGGTGATGAATGAGAGGCTCTCTCATATCAAAGCATTTTTTTTTTAAACAGATGCTATGCTTATAAATAAATCACAAATTTGAAATCTAACGAAAGAAATAAAGTACGTTCTTGTCTAAAAAAAAAGCCTAAAATATACTGTATATGTTGTGGTTTAACAGCCACAAGATTTGTCAAACTGTTGTTTCAATCTTTAGTTTGAAGCTTGCTGCAGTTATATATTGTATGTATACATGTATACATACATATACACATGAGCAATATCACATGAGTAGCAGTGCGTTATGGCTGTATATCGGCACAGGTGGGAGGCGTGACTTAGTGTCTCACCAGTGACAATATACAGCCACATCACACTGCTACTCATGTGATATTGCGTTTATACAACTCACTGGTATAATTTAATGGTATAATCATGTATATTAAAAAAGAAAATCAAACACAGAGAGTCTTAAAACCTCTTTTTTATAAGGAACTACTTTCTTCCGCCATTCATTCACACCTGCAGCTGACATCAGAACAGCAGAAACCGCTACTTCGCAAACATCATTTAAGAGCTAGTATTTAAATGATTCTCCAGCTTAATATCTAAAGTGATGAAAAACAGGTGATTTTGCTCACATTTTAAGATTATAAGGCTGAACGGCATGAAACACTACCAGATTACTGTTTGCGATAAGGATAAATACTAAAGTTATGTGGACATATCTTCTTTCTTTATGTTTACTGAACTAGTCTGCAGTAACAAAAACGAAAACAGCAGACTCATTGGAAACAAACTGGCCAACCAAAAAGTAACTCAGGGTTATATGATGAGTGGTCAACACAAAATACACACATTTCACACATTGGGAAATATTTAAAAAAGAAAAAAATTAAAGGGGGGCTAATAATTCTCATAGTTGAAGTAAGAATTATTAGCCCCCCTTTAAATATGTTTCCTTTATAAATATTTCCCAAATGATGTTTAACAGAGCAAGGAAATTTTCACAGCATGTCTGATAATATTTTTTCTTCTTGAGAAAGTTATTTGTTTTATTTCGGCTAGAATAAAAGCAAAGCAAATAAAATTATTAGCCTCTTTAAGCTATATATTTTTTCAATAGTCTACAGAACAAACCATCGTTATACAATAACTTGCCTAATTACCCTAACCTGCTTAGGTAATCTAATTAACCTAGTTAAGCCTTTAAATGTCAATTTAAGCTGTATAGAAGTATCTTAAAAAATATCTAGTCAAATATTATTTACTGTCATCATGGCAAAGATAAAATAAATCAGCTATTAGAAATTAGTTATTAAAACTATTATGTTTAGAAATGGGTTGAAAAAAATCTCTCCACTAAAGAGAAATTGTGGAAAAAAATAAACAGCGGGTTAATAATTCTGACAATATATTGTCAGAATATAAAAAGTCCACAAAATATTTACAATAGAACAACTCTGTGCATAACCTAGTAAAACTATCATCATGCTTTTTCTTTGCATTTTTTAAAAGTCTTGCAGTAAATGATGTACCATGTAAATGCATCACAAAGTAGTCACATTTCAGTTTCACTCTGCTCCTTTAAGCATGCTTGAGGCATGAAAATCAGATTATGTCACATTAATAGATTCATTGCATTAAAAGTTTCGCTTACAATGTTTTTTCACTTTATTTTCACAAACATAAAGATCTGCATGCCTCTGCTGTGTTTCTTTATGAACAGACCATCAGACCAAAGGAAGGCTGGCAGGTTTACAGTTCAGCACAGGATGCCGACGGTCGCTGCATCTGTACGGTTGTGGCACCAGAACAGAGCCTGTGCTCCAGAGATGCAAAGAGCAAGCAGCTCCGCCAGTTGCTGGAGAAGGTGTGTGCGCACATCAATGTGTGTCTAAGAACGCTAAAGTCGTTTTATATTGAGATCTGGTTTGGATAACAAAAGCTTTCATTGCAGAGATTTGAAAGCATTATGCGAAACTGCTCACCATTTTCATCTGCTAAAAATGCCACAGGCTTCTCTGTAGCTGATTGTGGAGGAGCATAAAGATGATGGTAATGCAAAAACGGCCTAAAGGGTGTTTAAGGCCCCCTCTTGTTCCTCCTTCCTACGCTTTTTCTTTTCAGTTGAAATAATATTCAATGATAGTTGATTTTAGAGACCAATAAACCATCTTCTTTTGTTTGGTGGAGGCTAGCGAAGGAGGTAATAGGGTTAACAACCCATACATAGTCCCATTTTTGTCTCTGAAATCTATCTTTGCTTTGGTTGTGTTGAATGGAATTATGGAAATGGAGAATTCCTCAGAGACACAGTGTCAGGGCTGATTTACGCCAGTTGGAAATGTAATTTAAATCTACCGCATCTTGCTTTTTTTTGCAGTTCAAAGAATGATTAATGGATCCTAACTTCATTTCGGCCCATCTTCCTCTCTTAAGATTCAGAACATGTCGCAGTCAATCGAAGTGCTGAACCTGAGGACCCAGAGGGATTTCCAGTATGTCATGAAAATGGAGAGCCAGATGAAAGGACTCCGATCAAAGTTCAGACAAATCGAGTCCAACCGAAGAACATTATTGACTAAAAACTTTCAGGTGGGCTACCATTAAAGTCATGCCTCGGAGAAAATCAATGGCTCTTTCTCGTATGAACAGAGCGGTCTGAAAAAGCCACACTTGTCATTACTCTCCAAGAATGAATCAAATTCCACTTCATGAATAGCTTTTTTACAATCATTTGAAAAGGCAGTCCAACATTCCTGGAAATCCTGTAAACCCCTAAAGGTCATGCTTTATTTGTGTTATATTCAGAACATCTTGATGTTACCAGTGAAGCATCTGTTTCTACTAATGAAAGCAAATCTCTTCTTGTGACTTAATTTAATCGCTTGTCTGGTTTTGCAGGAGCTGAAGGGGAAGATGAATGAGTTGCAGCCGCTGATTCCGGTTTTGGAGCAGTATAAAACTGATGCCTCACTCATTTCCCAGTTCAAGGAGGAGCTCAGGAATCTCTCTGTGGTGCTGATGGCCATTCAGGAGGAGATCGGAGCGTATGATTATGAGGAGCTCCAGCAAAGGGTCCTTGGCTTGGAGGGAAGACTGAGGAACTGCATGAACAAACTTAGTGAGTTTTAAACTTTCTAAACTCTTAGGCTAATCCTGCTCCTGGAAGGCCAGTGTCCGGCACATTATCAGTCCCATTAGGCTAGTCATTTCACTCTTTGTGATGCCTCTCAGGCATGCAAGTGTAGCTCCCATCTAGTTGAATGGAGTTTCTAGTTGAACATCAAATTCTCCAAAGCTGTTTTTCAAGTTTACCATTAAGCTTAATATTTGAAATGACCAATAAAAATAAAAATAAAAATTACTGTCTTCTAAATTTTGTTTCCTAAGCTAATGCGTGTTCACACTCAAAAAGAACACGACACCAACCACCTTTATGGTCAAATATCATCCTGTCTATCAAACCATGTGTTGTTTCACACAATATCATCCTCTGAAAAAATGCCAAGTCTCATTTTGAAAATCTTTTCCCAAAATGACAGCCACCTTATTGTTTATGGGGAGTATTTAAGTGGCTGAAGTGGTCAAGTGGTATTCTATAGTATTTGAAAATATAGCACCCTCACTATTTAAACACGGCTTAACAAGCTAATCAAGGTCTTACTAGACAAATTCAAAACTTTCAGACAGTTGGAGCTAAACTCTTTAGAACAGTGGCCCTCTAGGACTGAGTTTGGACACCCTTGTCTTGGGCTGACTTGATTATACAAGAGCTGACATTATTTATCATTCTCTGTTGTGTCAGCATGTGGTAAGCTGATGAAAATCACTGGGCCTATCACTGTGAAGACATCAGGAACGAGGTTTGGAGCATGGATGACAGATCCTCAGGCTTCACCGAAGAATAACAAGGTAACATATAGCTCTATGCAACAGCAATATTGTTTCTCAGAACATTTGTTTCATTTCCCCCAGGATTTTATTTTATACACACACAAAAAAACACTTCTATGGGGACTTTAAAGAATTCACAGCTCTATCACACCAAATATACCATATATTTTTTAATTGTGTAAAAATCAATATTTATTATATGAGAAGAAAAACAAAATAGGGGGTGACGCGGTGGTGCAGTTAGTATCGCTAATGCCTCACAGCAAAAAGGTCGCTGGTTTGAGTCTCGGCTTGGTCAGTTGGCATTTCTGTGTGGAGTTTGCCATGTTCTCCTCGTGTTCGCGTGGGTTTTCCTGCGCTTGCTCCGGTTTCCCCCAAAGTCTATAGACATGCAGTACAGGTAAAATGGGTAGAGTGTGGATGGATGTTTCCCAGAGATTGGTTGCAGCTGGAAGGGCATCCGCTGCCTAAAATTAAGGTAGTATTAGATAAAATTCTCATCCTGTAATGCTTTGAGAATTATGTAATCAAAGAAAGAACATTGATATATTAATGGAATTATATAATATATATATAAAACATACTGTATATGTAAAGTACAGGGAATTTTGCAATCAAATAAAATGGTTATTAATCAGATAATACACTCCCCATAAAAATAATAAAATAAAAACACCACCTGGATTTAACTAAGTAACAAGGCAAGTACCTAACATTGAATAATTATTACATAGAAAATTATGTTTCAGCTGGTAAGTTATTTAACCATAACTGATGCAGAGAGTAGCTTGTCTTTCTTAAACAACCATGTTTAAAGACATCCTGTGATTGTAGAAAAGATGTCAATCTAAAAAAAAACTTCAATGATTGAGATCACTTAAACATCTGGTGAAATCAAATTTAAAAAAAGAACAGTAATAGGACTCACGGCTATGTTAACCCTCTAATTGCTCCACCAAGAAAACATAGTTGGATTAAATTTCATAGCTCCTAAAGTTGCTAGTTAATAAACTTGACGTGTTTTCTTTTAACACATACTATAATTTCTAAAATATCAACCTCTACCAAATGGTTGATATGTCGGTTTATGGTAAAAGTACTGGAATTAATACATATACTATGAAAAATCTGAAAACATGAGACCAATTTATTTTTTTAAAACACAATCAAAATTAACATGTTTTCTTTTTTCTTTTTTTTTTTTTTTTGTTTGTTTTGTTTCGTTTGTTTTTTTACCGTAAAACCAAAATCAAGTGTAGTGATTGCTTTGTGTGTAAACCATTATTTAAAACAGTCCAAATATGGACAATCATTTGGTGGAGCAGGCAATTAAAGGGTTAATAGAACCCTTCTATTAAGAGCAGTTTCACAGTTCTACTGTGTAGCCTTAAGAAAATCACTTATCAATGAAGCTAATTGGATAAAATGCTTCAATTTGCAAGGGATGATTATTATTAGGCTTTGGAGCATTAGAAGAAGGTCATGTGGTCAGATGAGTCCAGAGTTGCCCTGTTCCAGAATGATGTGTACATCAGGGTAAAAAGAGAGGCAGATGCCTACCACACAAGCCTGTAGGGCCAGTGCTGTGATCTGGGAATGCTGCATTGTTCAAATCTATGTTCGGCAATGTTGTGTGCCCAAAGAATGTGCCCAGTGACTACCTGAATAAGCTGAATAACCAGGCTATAAAATTAATGAATCAATTAAATCGATTCACCGGTCAATCTACGTTCCTACTCTCACCTATGGTCATGAGCTTTGGGTCATGACCTAAAGCACAAGATCTCGGATACAAGCACCCTTATAGATAGGGTGAGGAGTTCTGTCACTCGGAGTAGAGCAGCTGCTCCTCCACATCGAGAGAAGTCAGCTGAGGTGGCTCGGGCATCTGTTTCGGATGCCTCCTGGACACCTACCTAGGGAGTTGTTCCAGGCATGTACCACCGGGAGGAGACCTCGGGGAAGACATAGGACACGCTGGGGGCACTATGTCTCTAGGCTGACCTGGGAACGTCTCAGGATCCCCCCGGAGGAGCTGGAGAAAGTGTCTGGGGAGAGAAAAGTCTGGGATTCTCTCCTAGGACTGCTGCCCTGGCATCCCGGCCCTGGAAAAGCGGTTGAAAAAGAATGAATGAATGAATGTATGAATGAAACAATCAATCAATCAATCAATCAATCAATCAATCAATCAATCAATCAATTGATTGTTGCTTCCCTAATGGTATGGGCATGTTCTAAGATGACAAAGCTAGAATTCAGCTGGCTTAAACAGTGAAAGAGTCGGACATCTTATTACACATGAATTGGCCACCACAAAGTCCATGACCTAACCCTATTAAGAATCTTTTGGATGTACTAGAGAAGAATTTGCACAGTGGTCCAACCACTCCCATTATCAAAACAAGAGTATGGCTAAAAAATGACGCAATTCTGGCCAGGAATAAATGTTGTGACATTAAAGAAGTTGCAGCAAGTGTTTGCTGTAATCAAGGCTAAAGGCGGTCCTACGAAATATTAAAATGTACAACTTTTTTTGACAGGCAGTATCAAATCAAACATTCAAACACCTTCATTATTTCCTACAATGTATTCACTATAGTTTAGTAATCGGTAATTACTTAGTTCTTGTGTTTCTTGTGTACTCATTAATCTTGATAAAGTCAAGTCAGATTAAAAATGTACAGTATGTGATGGATTACAATCAACCAAAAAAATATTTAGACAACAGTTAGCATGAATATTTACACAACTACAAAGCAACATTTTTCTGAGCCACTCTTTGCCTCAATGAAAGCCTGTAGTCTTCTGAGGCACCCACTTCTACTATCAACCTTAAAGCTCACAAAGGTTTATTGCTAAAATAACCTAATCTAATTCACACTCAAATGTTCCAATGCAGGTTTGGTACATGGACAGCTATACCAACAACAAGATTGTCCGTGAGTACAAATCAGTCAGCGACTTCGTAGCAGGAGTCGAGTCCAAAACCTACAACCTCCCGTTCCACTGGGCAGGAACCAATCATGTGGTCTACAATGGCTCGCTGTACTACAACAAATACCAGAGCAACATCATTGTCAGATACAGCTTTGAAAGTGGCCGGGTCACGACTCAGAGAGCCCTGGAGTCTGCAGGATTCCACAATGTCTATCCATACACCTGGGGCGGATTCTCTGACATTGACCTGATGGCTGACGAGCTCGGTTTATGGGCCATCTATGCCACCAATCAGAATGCAGGGAATATAGTGATCAGCCGACTGGATCCTCAGACTATCCAGGTTCTGAACTCCTGGAACACAGAATACTCCAAACGCAATGCAGGCGAGTCCTTCATGATCTGCGGCACACTCTATATCACCAACTCACACCTGACCGGAGCCAAGGTTTACTACTCTTACTCCACCAAAACATCCACCTATGAGTACATGGACATCCCTATTCATAACCAGTACTTTCACATGTCCATGCTGGATTACAATGCCAGGGATCGTGCACTTTACGGATGGAACAACGGCCACCAGGTACTGTTCAATGTCACGCTTTTCCACATTATTAAAACTGACGATGAATCCTGAGAGACGTAGCCTGAGGTGAGAGGAAATCTATCTACAGTTACACTATTTAATTACTGTGGTATTGCTTTGAAATAATGGGATTTTTATGTTACAATCAAGAGATGAGTTTAGTTGGAGGTTCTCTGGGGGCCTCTGGAAATGTCATTTGTCAAACATTTGTGATTAAATTCAAAATCAGACTTGGATATTGACATTTATGAACTTTTAAGACTCTATTTAAATGTTGTTTGTGAAACTTTCAATGTGTGACAGTGATGTTCAGCTGTAATACTTGATTTAACAAAGAATGTAACTTAATACTTAATACTAAAAACTATATTTAAAACTAGAAAAAATCATTACACACATACTGATCTGTCAGACTCCATCACTTTGTTTTGGTTTGTCAAATATTCATGGAATTAAAGGGATAGTTAAATCAAAAGTGTAAATTTGCTGATCGTTTACTCCAACATGAAGGTGACCTTTTTCTTTGGGGGAATATTAAAGGGCCATAAAACCCCCACTGTCTCACCAGGGTGTTCTTGTGTGAAAAGTCAGGCAAGTGGCTGGGTCCAGCTTTGTTTAGGTGGGAGTGGCGAAAGAGGAAAGGGTTTATATGAAAAGCAGAGTTTTATTACGTGCACATGCTGATTTTCACAGTGGCAACACAAACACTGACGCAGGGGAGATAGACAGGGATTTGGAGAGTAGCATTTACTCTTTGGATCTGAGAGCTGTGAAGAAGTTGAGGATTTTCAATCCATAATATTGTAGTTATAGTAACATTCTGTAAACTTAGTAACTAAATTATTTTGACTAAGTTATGTCTTTTATAACTGAAAGAGTATTGCTGACAATACTAACTAACTTTGCCATCTGAATAAACATAAACAAAGAATACACACTTGCCAAATCCATAGAAACGGGACAATTAACACAAACTGGAATTGCATCTTTTTTTTAAAGAAAATGAGTGGCAAATCCAGATTTCACCATTTCCAGATTTTAAAAGCTCTTGGGTGAAAAATATTCCTTACAAACATACAAGCGAGCAGCTGTCACGATGAGGTATTACAAAAACAAGGAGTAGATCCAAATGCAGCATAATATAGTTTAATATATTAAGTAAACAAAGAAGATCCAAATAACAGGCAAGGTACAAAAACTGACAAAACAAACGCAAGTGCAAAAACTAAAAGCACTGAATCAAACTAAATCTTAACAGGGATCCAAAAACATCGAGACGGTACTAAAAGTGAACAAACAAACCGAACCTAACATGAGGAACTGGAGAGCAAAACAGGGGAGAGCAAAACAGGACAAAGCAAAACAGGACAGAGCAAAGCAAAATCCAAAGGCAAACTAAACACAACATGACAAGGCTTATAAAAGACAGAACCAATTAGACAACAAGGAACAGCTGGAAACAAGGAGTGATCATGTGAGCAGGCATACAGGAAATGAAAACAACCAAAACAAGACTTAGTGCCCTTAAGAGTCCACAAGAGGGCACTGCAGCAGGTGTGACAGCAGCACTTTCATCGTGGGGAAATAGAAACAGAACCTTCGTTGTGGCACATTTATAAACAACCCATGTCTCCGAACAACTCTTCTTCTTCTACTTGTTTTAATTACGGTTGGCAACACGTGATGTCTCTCTGAACACTGTAACTGGTAAAAGGAGTACATCATGCATATTAACTGGTTCGAAACAAGTCCTTCTGATGAATTAATAAAAAGATGTGCTGAATACTCAATGATGTCAATCATGCCAATCCCCACGCTGGAATTTACACAATGATCTCATTGCCTTTTCAAACTGGAAAAATGAATTTGCTTTAAACAACGCAAAAACAACCAATTTTACCTTGTTAGCTAAATATATGTGTCCTAAAAGTGTTTTTAGCAACATGGGATGTATATTTTGCTGTTAACATCTCAAAAAATGCATTTTGGTGTTTCATGACCCTTTAAAGAAGATGTTTAGCTGATGTTGTGTTCCTTGGTCATTCATAAAATGCAAGTCAATGACTAATGGCACATTGAGAGTGAAAATATGAATATCTATGATTCCTGACGATACATGTAGCTCTTACGAAGCAGAACAATAAGAAAGCATTAGTACAACTTTATGTAAACAACCTTTAATACACATCCTCTGCAAATGCTAATGCAATCGTTACTGCCTTAAGTGAAAAGTTTCTGTCAAATTATGATGTAAGAATGAATATAAACTCACATATGAACTGATGCTGTTTTTCTGAACTGTATGTAAGCAATAATGAAAAAACAAAAAGTACTAGATGGCGTGCTGTATTATGTATCATGGCTTAAGGCTCTATTTTGACGGTCCATGCGCAAAACGGAAAGCGCAGGGCGCAAACGCTTTCAGGGCATATCAGAATCCATATTTGCTAATTTAAGGACAGGAAAATCTGCTTTGCGCCGTGGCGCATGGTCTAGAAGGGTTGAGTTTATTTTCTTAATGAGTTATAGATGTGTTTTGAGAATAAACCAATCAGAGTCTCGTCTCCCATTACCTTTAAGAGACAGCTGCGCCGCGCCATAAGCGAATTTGCTATTTACATGACGGAAAGTAAGTCTAAGTGGAAAACTGAGCATTTCACTAGCAAACAGTTAAAAGTTTTTTTTTAACAGAAAACAGTTAAACAGAGCATCTACCGCGCAAGAATGAGAGATAATTAATCTACTTTCACTTTCGCTCTTGGATAGGGAAACCTTTATGCATAGACATCAATTAGCCTATAAATAATTTATTTCGTTTGTTAAGCACAAATATTTGTTTCAAAACTATTTCTAAATTCAGTTCTAATTTCCAGCAAATTAATAAATGAACAATAATAACAAAGTTTGTTCAAAAAACTGAGTTATATCCTAAAACACATGCTGTTCCCCAGATGGTCTAAAACCTGACAGGTGGGCAAATCTAAGCTTGTTTTTAATAAAACAAATATAAATATGGATATAATAAGTAATACTGCTAATAATAATAACATTATACAAAAGCAAACTGTTATAAATGAACTGAAAAAGCCTCCCGAGATAAAGAAGGCAAAAAGCAGTGGTTTTTCATATTTATGTAAGCTAGAAAATAATATGTTTTGTAATATTTTAATCCTTTACACACATATATATATATATATATATATATATTCTTATTATATCTTATATAGGCCTATCCTTATTATTTAAATTTTTTCATATGTAAAAATATTTGCGTATTGCTCTATATCTTGTGTGTAGGCTATTAAGAAGTGTGTAAGCGATTTTATACCGGGTTTGTATTGGTCTAATGAAAAATCTACTATAGTTTCTCAAAATAGCAACACGCCAGCAGTGCACCTCAGAACGCCTTCCTTTTTAGACCAGAGCGCCTACGGGCGCACATATGAGCGCAAATGCATTTGCTACTTAAAGAGCGTATAGTGCACCGCCTCAAAACGACTCTTGCGCCAAGCTGAAACTAGCAAACAAGTATTGCGCCGCGTCTTGCGCCTCATTGTGCCGGGTGTATGATAGGGCCCTTATTGTTATTAGGAATATTACTGTACACTCAAAACAAATACCATTACTCTTTGTTTAAACACATTATAGAAGATGAGTTGAAACAAACAAATTCTTGAGTTTTTTTGGCAACAACTTATTTGCTTTCATATTTAGTCCACTAACTTTAATTCATTCATGTTCTCCCAACACAAATCAATTGTGTGGAACCCAACATTTTTTGTCATTAGCTTATTGTGTGTACCCCTTTCAGCCATCACTTAGTGACCAAACAGCAACATAGACTTGAATACCTTATTACCTTTTTAAAATGGTTACCAGAGAATAAATATTAAAATGCTAAATGTATTGATTAAAATGCTACTTTTTAAATAAAAATGTTTCAAATACCATCTTATGTTAATTAGGAAAAATAGTCCCTGACCAGTTACAGCAATAGTTCATGTGTGTATAACTACTGAAGCTCAAATAAAAACAGACTGGAACTGTTCTCATGCTCTGTCATTTAATTTCAACACAATGTATAATGTTTCATACATCACATTATCAAATGATAGTTCTTAATAAATATAAAAGGCTTTTGATACTACAGTATATTAATGATTTTTTTTCGTGGCTAAAGTATGGGTGTAACAACTCACTGATTCAATTTATTCAAAGTGAGTCTCCAGGAAACGGTTCACTGATTCAAATGATCTAGACAGTGTTCACTGAATTTGCAAACTAATTTAGATCCTCTCCAAGAATTTTACAGTTTATTTTAGAGGCCAAGTACATAATTTTAGAGTTTATCATTGTAGATAACCATATTTAGGTCACACATGTCATAAAAAATTCTTCTGAATATAAAAAGTCACCTGCATCTTGGATGGTCAAATAAATTAACATACACTTAAAATGTTTGGGTGTACTACAGTATACCTTTTGGAACGCAACTCTATATATGACTTATTTAAAAGGAATTAATCTCTAATAGAAATGATTAGCTTGTGTTTTCCTACAGTATATGTCTTGTTTTTCACCAAAGGTACATAATAAAGGGTATATTTTGGGGTGAATTGTCCATTTAAAACCAATCCTTGCTGAAAACATTCAACAGTGCAACAATAAATGACTTTGTTTTCTGTGTGCTGCTATATTATCTGAGCAAATAATTATTGAATTGAATTCAATTCAAGTTTGCTTGTTTAGCACTTTTTACAATAATTATAGTCCCAAAGCAGATTCACATTATTACGTTATAGTGAAAATCTGAAAAATTAAGGAGTTGTGTAAAGGGTTGGCTGTGCATAAACGTAGTTAACCTGCAGTTAAGACACTATATAGAGTCTTTACAAAATGAATATTACTTACATGTAATAATAATACATGTTCAATCAAGATATGTGTATTAAGTGTTTGTTGTCCTCAAAAGATCTCATTAAAATTGATTAATTTAAGAGAATGAAATGTAATCTATTATAAATCCATTACATTTATTTATTTTTTTTAATGTAATGGACCAAACTCCAAACCCCACCAAACTCCAAACATCAGCAAAATAGTTTTAATCATTTAATCGTTTGTGCTGCAAAGAAAAGAGATTGCAATGCTTTGGTTTTTCAGATATTAAATTAATATTTATTAGGTTATACTAAGGTCTCTCAGTGAACATTTCAGTTGTGCTGCTTCTGTTTTTTAAACATTGGACATTCAATTAAAGACAATGATCTCACCAGCCCTTGCTGCTTGGATTGGATTTTTAGATATTAAAACAACATATCACTTTTGTTTCTGGAGTCTCTCAGCCTCCTCACATGCTAATTCATCCGAACATCCAAATTCATCCAACATAGACTTGTTTTTGAAAGTTTCATTTGTGCTTCTTCTGTTATTTGACACTGACATTGAAATAAAACAATGACCTAAGCAGTCATGCACATGTATCATTACCATGAGATAAATGACACATAAACAAGCCTGTGAAATTGCAAGCATACAAAAACTTTTTTATTGTTGTTGTTTTTGTTGTTGTTGTTTTTATCTTAAACATTTGATGAATGCTTTATTTAGTGTTTAGAAATAAGAGCAGATGAGGACTAATATGAAGCAAACGCTTAAATGGATCTCTTTCACATATTTATTTATTTATTTATTTATTTATCTATTTATTCATTCATTCATTCATTCATTCATTTTTCGTCCCACTTTATATTGTCGCTTATACCTGTGCACTTTCAAGGTAACTAGATGTGTAAGTTGTATATAACTACAGTGTATGTACATACTAGTACATAGTATTTACTTGTTTAATACTGGTGTAACTACACACATGTAACAACACACAATAGTATGTGTAAGTTCAAATGTGTAACAGGACATTAATAACACAATCTTTGGTAAACTACCACTTTAATGTAAATTACTGATGTGATTCTACAGTTTACCTTAAAACAACATATAAACAAAAGGCATTTGTATATTTCTATATACACATACTTTTTTGGCAGAAGTTTGCCGTTGTTAAACAGTTGTACAAAGGCTTCATTTATTTATTTATTTTCTTTGAACCGCCAAGTTATTCAGCATGTTTTTACGCAGCATGATGCCCTTTCAGCCGCACCCCATCTCTGGGAAACCATACACACTCATTCACACACACACACACACACACACACACACACACACACACACACACACACACACACACACACACATACACACATACACACTCATACACATACAATTTAGTCTACCCAATTCACCTGTACCGCATGTCTTTGGACTGTGGGGGAAACCGGAGCACCCGGAGGAAACCCATGCGAACGCAGGGAGAACATGCAGACTCCACACAGAAATGGCAACTGACCCAGTCGAGGCTCGAACCTGCGACCCAGCAACCTTCTTGCTGTGAGGCAACAGCACTACCTACTGCAACCCGCGTCACCTGTACAAAGGCTTAGGTTTAATATATTACACAGTAATTTGTGACCATTTTACACTTTATATTGAGTGGACAGTTCCTGAGGATTTGCCCTGCAATTGCATAATTATCACAAGGTGAAACTTTGTAATGCAGCATTAGTTCTACCATTCTTATTCTAATATAATATTTAGAAGCACATGGTATGCAAACAGGTGTAGAAGTGAGAAAATATCTGCAAGTATATTGTTGTTGCACAAAGCACTTATGTAATGTAATGTCCTGTTACACATTTGAACTTATACTATTCAGTGTGTAGTTTCACCAGTATTACACAAGTAAATACTATATACTAATGTGTACATACACTGTAGTTACATACTACTTACACATCTAGTTACCATGTAAGTTCACAGGTATACAGTAAGCGACAATATAAAGTGGGTTATTTTTTAATTT